GTCGGCAACCCCTGGCACGCGTGCCAATGGCACCGTAACCAGTGCCACACTAGGAATAAGTGGAATAAGTGTGCAAAATATTACAATTTTATTTTCGGATCCTGAACGAGACCGCCGCCAGAGTGCGTCTCCCCGTTACCTGCAGAAGGAAGCCATGCACGCAACGCAGCCCCGCTCTCTTTAACTCCAGTCGACTTTCTGCTGCTTTCCTCCGTGGTGAAACGATCAGGGGTGAAGTGCTGCCGGAGCGCGCCTGCACTTCACACATTGCAGCAGGCTACCCATAAGGAGCTGTACGAATGCCGCAGTTTTTGCGTGGCTGTGTCTTTAGTTTAAGCCCAGTGGCGATCTGCTCATCTCTCATCGAAGATAATATGCTACACAGGGGCGGACTGGCCAACTGTGTGTTCTGGAGAATCACAGAACGGATGGCCGTCATTATTATAATGCCGTTTAAACCAATTATTTAAATTTGTTGAAACGGCATCATGTAAGTTGCGCTGACAGGTGAAAGAGATCAACACACTGCTTCCCCGCAGCGAGGCCTCCTGTTGACAGTTCACGATCGTCGGCACACTGATCCAATTTTTTTTTTTAAATGGCACTTCATATCAAAAAGGTTGCCGACCCCTGGGTTACAATGTGGTGCGCTAATTGTGCGTAACATTCTGAGCTTAGACGCTCTGTCATTTATCGTCAGAAGGATAGGTAAAAGAAGGAAAATATTTATTCTTGAATTTTTGATTTACTAAAAACCTTTCTAATAAAATCCTGTTAATTTAATCTACTGAAGATTCCTGCTAAAAGGGGAGAAAATAATCTTTCTTGTTATAAAGAATTCATTTAATTTATTAGAAGCATTTCTAGTAAAGTCCAGTTAATTAAATCTGCTGAGATTTTAAAATGTAATTTTTGTGTACTTTCGGGTTAATAATGTGGCCTTTTTGGCAGTTTAACTAAAGGTGTGCGGCTGCTGCTGTGAGGAAATATCAGCCTGAAATTACAATGGGTTTTAATGGAGACATGTTGAACGTTTTTGTCACTTCATGCCCTCAAGAGCAGGGGCGGCGGGTACTGTAGGCTAGGGAAGTGTAGGCCTTCCCAAATATTTGTGTCACTGCATCCTGGTAAAATAAAAATATAATGTATAATGTTTGTGTCTTTGACATTAGCGCTGCTATGCAGCCACCTGTGCCCTGTACTACGAAGCCAGTTCAACATACCCTGGATATGTTTAGTTATCTTAACTAACCCTAACAAACGAGATCTCGCTAAGCGGTCCTACGACACTGGTTATCAACTCGGTAAATCAAGCCAGGGTTTCTCTCTCCAGCTGAGAGCGCGTTCACGTGAAAGGGGCGGGGTTAGCAACATTTGACCAATCACAAACAGGGACAAGTGTACTGACAGCGCAGCGTCATACTTCATTAATGAAAAGTAAACTAATATTAGACAAATATGAACTTTAAACATCCATGACTTAAACACATAATCCAGGATACAAGCCACATAGTTGCACCTGCAAGGTGAATACAGAACAACTCTAAGACACGAGTGGATCTCACTTTAATTATATTTGAGTTGAGTGTTTCGTCAACTTAATGTGTTGCTTAAAATAATACATCTGCATACAGTATGTGACACTGTAAGTGTTGCACGGCCAGATACGGCTCAAGAAGCTGACTCAGATAAGGAGATATATGATACATTATGATATTATATGATCGATGATCTGATATGAATGATAAGTGCATGTCGGCGTCTTCTCTGCATACGGCAGTTTAAACTGTATTTCCTTTATCCTGTAATATGACTTAATAGATTTAAACTCCGCACACTGAGCTCTGATTGGTCAGCAGGCGGTGCTTTCACTGAGTTGATCTCTTTTCTATAGATGCCGGAGGCGGGCAGCGACAGGTAAAAAAAGTTATTTAGCCTTCCCAAACCTGAGCCTCACACACGCCGCCTATGCTCAAGACAAGAGGCATTTTGTTTAATTATTTTTTGCTTAATTATTTGTCATTTATCAAGCTACGAGATGTTTTCCTACGTTTGTCATGAAAAATGATGTCTCCGGAATGTAGGGTTTGGGAATTATGGCAGTTAAAAAAAAAAATATGAAGGCAAATTTCAAGATTTCCTACCCTCTAGCTGTGACATCACACACTCTAGTTAATGTTAAAATCTGAAGAAAGCCTCTTTAACAAGGTCTGAACAATGTTTAATATCTCTAAAAGTAAGAATCAGATTTAAAAGTTGTGTTACACGAATAATGTCAGAAAGATGTGTAACATTTTAAAGTTGGAATGAGGTTTCTGAGTGAAAGTATGAATGAACAGTTACAGGCCGTCTCCACGGCAGCGTTAAAAAAATCTTGGAGGTGGGCGTATCTGAAGCTTGAGGATTTTTTGCGAGCAACCAATCACATGAATCTCCCGCCCGCGACATACGAAGCAAAAAAGCCCGAAGTAAACTGGATATAAACTCCCCAAAACAGGCGAAAACCTACCACTGTCTCTGCCACCTCCCTCCATGCCTGGCTCCTCCGGTTTATATCCCGGTAGGTCTGGTCATAAAGCACCGGGTGATTGATTCGCTACCGCTAATTTCTCCTCCATTTTTTGGAATATGAGGAAATGACCTGCGGTATTTCTCTCCCAGCATACACGCCGTTTGATTGGCTGGAGCTTGAACTGTCAGATTTGCGTACACGGGATTTGATTGGCTGACGCTTCCACCTCAGCCTCAAAAGTTGAACATTGTTCAACTTTGGATCTTGAAAATCCTGAGAATCTCCGCTCGCCTGCCCACAATGCATTTCGGCGAAAGCGAAAAAAAGTGACGTCACCCCATTCAAAGTGAATGGGCAGAAGCGTTTCAAGATTTTTTAACGCTGCCGTGGAGACGGCCCGTTAGCAGTTGAAGTCGCATGAAGATTGTTCAAGTCTGAAGATTTTTTCCATTGACTTCAATGGTTAAAAATGTGATGAATTATGGGATGTATCTCTGGAATTATGAAAGTTATGAATAATCCAAATGATAGCCATCGATTCCCGACCGAGCTGAACGTTTTGATGTTTGAACGGAATTTCTGCGATGTTGAATGCAGGAGGAGAAGAGGTACAAAATTCCGGCGGAATAATAATAATTTTGTCCGTAGAATAACATTTAGTGGGAATGCTGTATCAGCATTCCCACTAAATTAAGGCAGCAGTTGCCAAACAAATGTATTGTTTACATGCTTTATTTACATGTTTACATGCTTTATTTATTTTGATAACTAAAATGCATCTTTCTTGTTTTCAAAGGGTTTTCACCTGCATAAAGTGACCCAGTCAGCAAAGACATTTAAGTGAACTGCTAAATAAAAAGTCTGAAAATAAAAGCTGTGTCATTGGAGTGGAATCCTGTTCTCAAAGTCCAGTAGATGCCTCAAGTCCCTTTCAAGTGGGGAATCTGCACAAAAACAGAGGAAACTTGACAATATGAAAATGCATGAATGTGTGAGTCAAAATATATAACTATTAGAGTGAAAATGTATGTAGGTGAGAGTGAAAATAAATGTATGTGAAAGGAGAATGTATGTGTGTGGGGGGACCAGTATGTACGGCCCCTCATAAAAAGGCTTTATAACACACATACAAATACTAAGCACCCCAGTGTATATATACATACTGTATATCATTTAGCATTCACTTATGATTAATCTTTGATTTATCCAATCTAATAATTGAAAATGTTATTTAAATCATGTTAAATTGTTGCCAAGAAACCTGTTAGCTCATGGCATCACAGTATCTGTGTTATTCAAGGTTATGTAAAATACAAACAAACAATGTATTTAGAATGAAAAAGTTTGATATAATTATAGTCATTATTACATATAATATGTTGTTATATAATATTATTGGATCTCTTAATCTATGCTTTGTGTCCTTCCCTTCACACGGGTACACCCATTCTGGCGGCCTTTAGGCTGCAGGTTAGCTGTTAGAGGCTGGTGACAGCAGAGAGTGAAGTGAATAGTCAAGAAAACTATTTGTATGCGAAGATAACAGTTTCATTTTTGGGTGATTAGCCTCCTTAGTTAAAAAATGACAGAAAAGTATAAACAAAACTTTTGCATTTAAAATGTGGTATTCCATTTCTGCCTGGGATTCATGTGTTTAAGTTTTAATATTACAAAAATGGTGACAGTTATTGATATCATATTTGCTTAATTATATGCTCTGCCTCGTGTCCAAATTTGGTGACATTCTGATCATTATTTCCAGAAAAAAATGGGATAAGGCCAACACGGCCTCATTCAGAGGAGCCTACATTTTCACTATTTTCAGTTATGGGAAAGTCCCAAACATTAACAAAAAAAAATACTTTTGCAGTAAAATAATTGTCTACAACCATCCGTTTCATAATCTAGACATGGAAAAACATGGTTGTGCTTTGTTCTACCTCGAGTAAGGGTATCTGGAAAACTAAAGCCTTTTCGGGGGATTTGTTCCTCTACTAATTGGGTTTATATGTTAGGAAATCTGGCTCTGAACCTAGGTCTAGGACGATTCACCTATGTTCTCCTGGTGTTGTTTATAAGTGCAGCTGTATGGGCTCTGGGGGAGGGATTGGGCTGTTATGGAAGAGGGAGGGAAAGAAAAGGAGGAGTTAGCAGCCATGCTGTTGGCATAGGGTGGAAGGAAATTCATTATTGACTTTCAAATAGGGGGGGGGGGGGGTATATTTCGAAATTAAGCAAGATTTGGACAATTCTGTGATTGGTCAAATGAAGGTGAAAACTCAAAATTAAGGATTTAAAAAAAATAATGTTTACACCGTTGTGTATATGTTACAACAATAAACCTTTGAATCTTCAATCTTGGAGTCTTAGAGAACAATAAAACAGAGTTATTATTACTTATAACCCTTATTACTGTGAGAGCCAACTTTGTGTACTGGAAGAGCATTTTAGAACATTATGGATATGCAGTAGCAAAAAAATGACAGCATTTACTTTACACAGACTTTATTTAATCGATAATTATGAAAATCAATGAATACACAAATACATTATTATTTAAAAATTCCCAAAACTTTGACTAGGTGACACTTGCCAGTGATTCCAGGGTTGTTCTTCATAATTATTATGGGACATGATAAATAGCATTGAAGGCTGTGTGTCAGCTTCCATCTTTTTTCTGCTACAGAGCTCTAATTGCACACCGCTAAGAGTGCTGGACTTTTGTATTGTACATGACAATACAAAATAAAGGGAATTGAGAACACAAGGTTGTTGGAAGTAATATCATGCTGTGGTAATTTTACACTGGAAAAATACAATTCTAGGCATGGGTTGATAACAAGCTCATTCAGCATTTCTCTAAGGAGTAGGGAGAGAAAGAGGGAAGAAAATCCTAAACTGCAGCGTTGGCTTCATGAAGACAAGGTGTTAGTAGGCTACTTTGGTTTTTTGATTCTCCCACTAGAACAGAAGTCAGGGGGGTAGGACGATGAAGTCGACAGAGGACTTGAGCTAACCCCTGGACTCCAGAGATCTGCAGGGAGATAGAGAATAACACTGCATATTGGTAAACTACACACCAAAAAATTATAGAAATATGGCCACAACAAAATTCATTTTTCTGTGAATAAAAAATGTAAATGTATTGCCTGCTTGGAAATGAGTCTGCTATTGACTCTTGCATGATAATAGGTACCAGGTTATTTTTCAATGGAATCGCGCACTGATTGACGCGGACTCGAACTTGGACTTGTGAATTCTCGCGCACGATGACTCGGACTCGACTTGTACATTGGCGCTCCGACTCGGATTCGAGCAAGTCTTGTCTCGAGTCTGATGTACTCTGTCCTGGCGTGTGCACCTGCGCGGCGAGTTCACGTACTGGGCGCGGCCCCGCTGTTCCAGTAGAGAGAGAGAGAGAGAGAGAGAGAGAGAGAGAGAGAGAGAGAGAGAGAGAGAGAGAGAGAGAGAGAGAGAGAGAGAGAGAGAGAGAGAGAGAGAGAGATAGAGAGAGAGAGATGAGAGAGAGAGAGAGAGAGAGAGAGAGAGAGAGGTTTGCATTGTTCTGAATGAGAGATAAACCTCTTACATGTGAACGTTTTGTGGAAGAACGATAACAGATATCTGTGAAATTTCAAAACGTGAAGCATGTCAAGGAAGTTGAGTATCTGATGTGTAATTTTTGTGTACTTTCTGGTTAATAATGTGGCCTTTTTGGCAGTTTAACTAAAGGTGTGCGGCTGCTGCTGTGAGGAAATATCTGCCTGAAATTACAATGGGTTTTAATGGAGACATGTTGAACGTTTTTGTCACTTCATGCCCTCAAGAGGCATTTTGTTTAATTATTTTTTGCTTAATTATTTGTCATTTTTCAAGCTACGAGATGTTTTCCTACGTTTGTCATGAAAAATGATGTCTCAGGAATGTAGGGTTTGGGAATTATGGCAGTTTTAAAAAAATATATGAAGGCAAATTTCAAGATTTGCTCCACTCTAGCTGTGACATCACGCACTCTAGTTAATGTTAAAATCTGAAGTAAACCTCTTTACCAAGGTCTGAACAATGTTTAATATCTCTAAAAGTAAGAATCAGATTTAAAAGTTGTGTTACATGAATAATGTCAGAAAGATGTGTAACATTTTAAAGTTGGAATGAGGTTTCTGAGTGAAAGTATGAATGAACAGTTAGCAGTTGAAGTAGCATGAAGATTTGTTGAAGTCTGAAGAATATCTCCATTGACTTCAATGGTTAAAGATGTGATGAATTATGGGATGTATCTCTGGAATTATGAAAGTTATGAATGATAGTGAAGTAATAGCCTGCGATTCCCGACCGAGCTGAACGTTTTGATGTTTGAACGGAGTTTCTGCGATGTTGAATGTGGGAGGAGAAGAGGGCCAAAATAAGTCGGCGGAATAATAATAATAATTTGTGTCCGTAGTATAACATATAGTTGGAATGCTGTATCAGCATTCCCACTATATGGCGGCCCTCAGATTAATTTATAAACAACGTAATTAATAAAAGAAAATTAAAAATATTTTTTATTATTTACTTGTAGTACTGATACCGTCCACTAGACTCCTAGTTACGTCGCGAGCTGCGTACATGATTTCGTTCGACAGCCAAATACCGCGAAATAATCTGTGACGCGTTTGTGTGTATTGTGTTTGTTTCCCGGGAAACACTCACAAGAAACACCGGCTGTTGTTATGCCTGCTGTGACGTTAAGTTACCGCTTGTAATTATGCCTTTACAAGCTTCAAAGTTGCATTTATCATCTGAATTTGGCGAAAACAAGTTTAATATTCTAAAAACCAAGACTTTGTTAATTTGAAATCAGATGAAAACAAACTGTCACGGACCCTGCCGTGTTATCTATGATTACTATACGCTTTTCATTCATAATTTCAGCGGGAGGGAGGGGGAGCGGCGCTGAGGAACAGCAGAGTGTGCGGGTTGACAGGTGTTTGTGTTGACATTCCCCTTATTGTGCGTCAGCAGAGACAGGCTACAAGTGTCTTAGGTTCAAGTTAGACAACTAATGTCTGGGTTAGTGTTCATGACTTCATGTTTATGTCATCTTAATGGTTAATTTTAATGCACACACATTTTCCGTGCTTTCCAATAGTTTAAAATAGTTTTATTCCACTGTTAAATAACCTGTTCAATACAAACATGCCACTTGTAAAAATTAAATAACATTTCTGTGAACTGATATTTGTTTAGTGAGTTTATTAGAGAATGTTCCCTGAAAGATTGTAAAATGTCAATGAAGATGTCAGACTTAAAGGTGGGGTAGGTAAGTTTGAGAAACCGGCTCGAGATACACTTTTTGTTATATTCCATGGAATGCTCTTAACATCCCGATAGCGATGAATATCTTAAGTGCTTTGACAAAAAATCCATAACAAAATTTCATCTGTGGAAGCCGTAGTACTGTAAAAAGCACGGCTAAAATAACTGGATGGCCTACCTGCCTGTCAGCCTTCCATCTGTGCACAAACTTATCTCGTGCCCTCATTGGTCATGTGCGCGTTCGTGTGTGTTGGAGGAGGGGCTCTGTAAGGAAGTTGCCGTTTTTTTTACCGGCTGTGTATTTTCAAATTCTAGCGCACTCGAGCTGGTTTCTCCAAAATTACCTACCCCACCTTTAATTTGTTAATAATTACATACAATACATGGAATTTGTGTGTGTGTGTGTTCCAAGTGAATCTGCGGCCCCCTGGTGGCCAGTACATAAATTATGTGGCCCCCACCACCACCATCCAAGTTGCCCATCCCTGGTCTATATGAATAAACTTCACTTGCTTTTCAATCTACTTAGGGCCCACACAACAGTGTTGGAGTGCTTTGATATAAGTGGCAAATTATTTACACTGACATTGGTGGCCACTGACGTTTTAAAAGCAAAACCAATAATAAGACAGCAGTATGTGATGTACCCACAATTAGTTATTACGGATCCGACTTGGATGGTTACTTAAATCCTCGATCAGCGCTGCCCTCATTTAGAGTTAAATCGCTGAAGTTGGTCATTTTTTTCTTACCGTAATCACAACAATCCTTTTCAAATCAATCAAATATTCTTTTAATTAATAATGTTAATAATCTAGTCGTTGATGAATTTAGCAACTAGCTGTGTATGACACGGTATAATTAGCAGGAAGCTGGTCATTAATTAGAGACAAACCTCAACCTGCATGTGTGCATGTGCCCCCTGTTTGTGCATGTGTGAACAGCCTCACGAGTAGCTAGTGTGTTGCTGTCGTCTGCGGGCACTTCTCATCTTCTCAAAGCGAGCCTCCATTTCCTCCAGGACCTTGGGGGTATAGCGGACCACCAGCTTCACTGAGCCCTGCGCCGCCTTCAGCAGCTCCACAGCCTTCTCATGGTGCTCCCCTTCAACACTCTGCATACAGGAAATTGTGTCAGTGACCTCAGCTTTAGCAGACTCTTACAAGCACAGATCTACGTATTTTGTTAGAAGCCTTGTAAACTGAACTATGGTCCAATGTTTTTATTTTGAGAACTGTTTATGAGGGGTTGTGGCTCCAGAAAAACACCTTTTACAGACCAAGCCTTGGCCTAATTTAATAAGAGGAAGAGTGATAACTTATTTGAAATACATTTTAGCACTGGCCACGAAGGACATTTTGAAATTTGGACAGGTAGGAACCCCCAGCCCTATGATAATGCCAAAGCTAAAAAGAGCCCTGTAACAGTGGGGTCTATTTCTTACACTCCCAACCTGGTGATGTACAACTCAGATTTATTGATCAGAATTAAAGGTGGTTTTCAAGAAGTTCACAGTGGGCCTGAGCTTCTGTATGTCTATTTTACTTCTGGGGTCTACACAGTCCAACAAACATTTACACACTATCCACATAAATACAACAAACATAAACACACAAAACAACTCATCTAATTTAATTAACTATCAAGTACAGAAGTGAAAACAAAATAATTATCCTTTTAACCGTCATTAGGCCAAACAGACACAGTTTAATTGTCATTTTCTGAAATATAGATATTGCTTTAACAAAAGTTTGAACTGATTTTGTGTTGCTTTGAATAATGTTCACCAGCATTGAATTCAAATGGCCATGGCTCTGTACATAACTGTTCTCTGTATCATATTCGTTTTTGCTTTAGGTAACATGAACCTTGTTTTTGTTGCAGATTGTGTTTGAACTTTTGTATATCTTTCATTGAAGCACTGTACAGAATTACAAAACAGAAATCAAGCTCAGACAGAACAAATGCATTAAAAACATTTCTAGGGACATCTGGTGGTGTAACTTCTTCAACTCCTCATGCAACCAACACCGCCTTCCTTGTTTTTCTCATGTTATCAATTAGTTTGGACCGTGTTTATTTATGATGAAAGTTATACCTCGCAGTTTTGCCTCTTTTACTTGTTGTTCTTACCACTCCATTGACGGACAGTAGCTGGTCTCCTCTCTTAAGCCCTCCCTGGCGATCGGCCACCCCCCCAGGGATCACTCTGGAGATGTAGATGGGGGAGTTCTGCTCTTTGCCCCCCATGATGTTAAAGCCAAGACCTTCTTCTGTCTTGGGCAGCTCCACTACCCTTGGGTGGGCGTGGCCCTCGCTGGCTGCAAAGGCTGCCACTGTGGCCTGGTCAGGAAAGCAACAATATGATAAGCAGGGTGATTTAGCCTAATGTGGGATTTTTTTTGTTGGGGTGCTTCCTGTTTGAAGGTTGCTCCACCCTCATCTGTGATTGGACATTTGAGAAGTCATGTGATTTTGATCACATGACATCACAGTTTCATTAGGCTTGTTTGAGATGAGCGAGACCGACGCAGACCTGCGCAATTGCGACCGCCGTCTTGCTAGTGCGTTGCATGATGGTTAGTCATTGTGTCCGACTTGCTCTGGAGGCTCGACTACATGAGACGTTGAAATCTCGCGGGACAAAGACGCCGGTAGCCTTGAGAGCGAGGCGGAGCAGTTTCTCTCCACGAGCTGCAGAAGCTAAATGCTTGATGGGAAACGACTTGCTGGTATCTCCAGCTGAGCGCTCATTGGTGGGTTTTACCCCGTGCTGGGGATGAAACTCTCCATTGGCTCGGCAAAAGTTTGTTGTTGTTTTGTGTCAGTTTTACGTCGCCACTTCCATTCACATTTTTCATCATTGTTCCACAATGTTTATCATCATGAAATTAATATCTATATATTGTATACTATACTTGCACTGCTTACCGTTTTCATACTTTATATATCTTAGCATATTCATACACACTGTTCATACTGTTCATACTGCTCACAGGCTGCTGTGTATATCTAGTGTATTCATACCCCTCACTGTTTTTTCATCATTCAATTCATTCTATATTTTATTCTGTAGATTGTGTACATTACTTTTCACTTTACTGCTTTATGCACTCCTGGTTAGAAGCTAAACTGCATTTCGTTGTCTCAGTACCTGTAATCTGTGCAATAACAATAAAGTTGAATCTAATCTTGAGCAGGAACAAATGTATTTACTTACATATCTGACATTAACGATTAAACACATTTGTGCATTCTTTATAAATGCAAACTGGTGAAGACCACTGACGGAAGTAGTTTTGAAAAGTAATAAGTGGTTCTGTCTTTTACATGTAGGATTCAACCCCCCTTGTATTGATTTGTTTTCAAATGAACAGACACTTGAGTCATTCATTTGTAGTGATATAATAATTGTGGGATTTCTATTGCATCCACTTCATCTGCAACGAAGAACGCCAACGCAATTTCCGCCTTTGCAAACCGAGTCAAGCCGACTCCGAGCTGTCTGACTTCAGGCGAGCTTTTTGAGACCTCCCCCGGCTGCAATCGGCTATTCTCGTCTACTTTCGAGGCGAGACGCAGCTCATCTCAAACAAGCCTAATGACTCTCATTTGTTTGAGGAAGACCTACACCCACTGGAGCTTAGGTGTCCCACATTAGGGAGTGTCCCACATTAAGGCAATTCACCCCATATCAAATATCTGTTTCATATTATAAAAAATAAAATACTGTGACACAATTTGCAACATAATCTCCAGTTATGTTGCAGAATGTGTCACACAAAGCTGTGTTGAATGAATATAAAGATTATCAGCAGCACTCTGATTGGTATTTTCCTAATCTTAAATTCAGTTTGCAGTATTTTGGTGTGCAGAGGGCATGGTGCATAGTTTGGCGGTTCAGTCAAATGAGGCGCTGCAAAGTGAGTTCTTGGTTCTACACTGAACAAAAATATAAACGCAACACTTGTTTTTGCTCCCATTTTTCATGGGCTGAAATCAAAGATCTAAGACTTTTCTATGTAAACAAAAGGCCTATTTCTCTCAAATATTGTTCACAAATGTGTCTAAATCTGTGTTAGTGAGCACTCTTTCTTTGCCGAGATAATCCATCCACCTCACAGGTGTGGCATATCAAGATGCTGATTAGAAAGCATGATTATTGCACAGGTGTGCCCTAGGCTGGTCACAATGTGAGCCACTCTAAAATGTGCACTTTTATCTTGAAAAGAGACATTTATTACTGTAGGAACGGCGGGGTCAGAAATCCAGTCAGTGTGACCACCATTAGCCTCACGCAGTGCAACACATCTCCTTGGCAGAGAATTGATCAGGTTATTGGTTGTGGCCTGTGGAATGTTGGTCCACTCCTCTTCAATGGCTGTGCGAAGTTGCTGGATGTTGGCAGGAACTGGAACACGCTGTCGTATACTCCGATCCAGAGCATCCCAACCATGCTCAATAGGTGACATGTGTACAGATCCTTGCAACATGGGGCCGTGCATTATCATGCTGCAACATGAGGTGATGGTGGTGGATGAATGGCACAACAATGGGCCTCAGGATCTCCTCACGGTATCCCTGTGCATTCAAAATGCCATCGATAAAATGCACCCGTGTTCGCTGTCCATAACATACGCCTGCCCATACCATAACCCCACCGCCACCATGGGCAACTCGATTCACAACGTTGACATCAGCAAACCGCTCACCCACATGAGTCAATATTAAGTTTATGTGTGAAGATCCGTGGTGCTGCTTTCCTGTTCTGCCTATCCCTTAACCCCGTGACGTTTCACTATCAAGGGATAGACGTTAAGAGCTGATTTTTGGACTATTCGACTGCAACCCAGTTTTGGATAGTCTGCCGTGGTTTCATTCCATTTCATAGAGCTGTTTGACGCTCGGCGTAACCTTGGCACACTGCCACTCCAACATCCAATCACAGAGCTTGAAGATTAATCACGGGGTTTGTCAAGCAAAGGGACTGTAGTCCCAAACGATAGCTGAGGATTATGGGTAGTGTAGTGTCTTCGGTCATCCTAAACTCCGAAAAAACGATTTGTTTCTCCGAATCGAAGGGGGAAAACACAAAAGCATTGTACACAATTTAAACCAATCAATGTTGTGTAATTAACAAGGATAAACTGATGTTTTTAGTTGATGAGTACTGCAGGTTACTATGCAAACTTCGAGACCGAAACTACTGTTTTCACCCCACGCTGTTGCCTGGCAACGCAATTCTGTTGATAGTTAGTTCATATCGCATTAACACCATATCCCAACGTGCATTGCGGCTAAAACATCCAATTACCGAGCTTCAACCATAGCTGAGGATCTTGGGTAATCAGTTCAGTGGGTGTGTATTGCCTACGTCTGTTTCCGGTGACTTTATTTTGAAATTCAGTTCCTGACGGACGGCAAAAAAGCCAGATATTATAGAATTAAACAAATAAATAAAAACAAGGATAATTGTGTGTTATTGTTGAGTAAATAACAGTGTGTTATTTAGAAAGGAATAACAAATTAGAAGGAAAAAAGATTAAAAAAAAATATATTTCAGTATTCTGAGCCCCATTGATTTTCTTCACGGACGACAAAAAAATTCCGACATTATACGATTTAAAATAAAAACAATAATCGTGGCTTGATATTGAGTAAGAAAAAGGTTTTATGAACCACACAGCTTCTGGTCTTCCAAGAGCCGACTGGACAAAAAGACGTGGTGCAGGCACGAAACATACTACCAATAGAAATACATTGCTTTTAAAATCGTTCTGTGTGACACGGAAAAAAGGGGAAAATCGTGTTGGTGAACACGAATCACTAGATTACATTTCGTGACTATAACACGAAATGCAGTGAGACTGGGTTGTTCCTGAAGAGGAGGTCGAATTAGCAGTTCCCTCGGTAAAACTGCACATCCACCTTTGCTGTAAGATCTGGAAGGACCCAAGCTCGGCTCTCCTCCAGACAACAGCCAGAAATCATCAATCTGCTAATCGCCACAGACGTGCTGCTCCCCAGTACACCCCGGGTCAGCCAGTTTGGTTATCTTCAAGCTCCCTAGGACCATGAGAATCCTCCACACCTCCATGTTTCCCAAATCAAGCCAGTTTACACAAGCGATCTGTTAACTTTTTTCCAAGTTCCAAGTCCCAAGTCTCAGTGTTTGCATTGTTGGTTCAGTCCTGCCGCTCCCTGTGAGCATTACAATACAGTATGAGACTATTTTAATCCCAAAAGCTGCAGTTGGTTTGGTTCTGAATTAAAAACATATGAACAAGAGGAATGATAACAGCAAGCAACCTGAGAGGATTTAATCACATGCATATGAAGATAGAAAAACCACACACCTCCTATATATAGTATGTATATTTATAAAAAAATAAGGCCTTATGTCTCTATGACATTTCGTTTGTGCAATAGTGAAGTTATTCATAACTAAAAGGTTATTAGTTTGCATGTAATACCTTGGCAGTTGCCTGTGCTCGCACCTCTGGTCCTCCAACAATGTCCAGAGTGTCATAGAGCTGCTCATATACCTGAGGGGCCACGAGCAGATTACAGAGGAATCAGACCAACATATGAATGTAGTTAAGAGAAATACACTGGATAAACAGGTGAAAAACATCTGAGACCAAAAAGTTGACCCATTTCCCACAATTCCTTAAATGCATCCCAAGGAGCAAATAAAGCAAGTTTTTATGTGAGTGCTCTGATTATTAAATGTATTGTTTGATTCTGAAACGGTTTACTTATGTTGTTATTTAGCACGTCAACAGCCAGGATTTCCCACTCAGTCACATCAACCTGCGCCTGGCTGCTTCTGTAGACTGTAGATTGTCACATTAAGCCAATTTGTGAATTTAATTCAAAGTAAATATATAAATTGCCATAAACACTGTTATGCTCTGGCAGAGATAATAAAATACAGCTGTATAACAAAACCAAGACAGTTGATGCTGATGCCACTGTGCCTCCTGTCATATTTAATTGATGTCACTTTAAAAATGACCGCTCAGAGGAAACATTTCATTAAATGCATGTTGCCTTGACTCTTCTCCCCTTAAGTCACTTCCTCGCCTCTTCTGCTCACATCTCTCTTTAGCTGGACACAGAGCTGAGGGTTGCTGTTGAATAGTGAAAAGAACCAAACTTATGTATTTTCCTATAAAATGTTCCTTAAAGGTGGGGTAGGTAAATTTGAGAAACCAGCTCAAGATCGCTAGAATTTGAAAATACACAGCCGGAAAAAATCTGCCACTTCCTTACAGAGCCCCTCCTCCAACACACACGAACGCGCACATGACCAATGAGGGCACGAGATAAGTTTGTGCACAGATGGAAGGCTGACAGGCAAGTAGGCCATCCAGTTATTTTAGCCGGGCCGGCTAAAATGATTGGTCGTGCTTTTTACAGTATTACGGCTTCCACAGATGATATTTTTGTATGGATTTTTTGTCAAAGCTCTTAAGATATTCATTGCTATCGGGATGTTAAGAGCATTCCATGGAATATAACAAAAAGTGTATCTCGAGCCGGTTTCTCAAACTTACCTTACTTACTAAACTTCCACCTTTAACTTCACTGAAGCACATAATGGGGTTCACAAAAGATTTGAACGATTCATCGGGACTAAGGAAAACACAACCGTGGTGCTAAGAATCCGACTGTACCTACACTGGGCCACGTGATGATACAATGTAGATATGCCTATTGCCTATTGTCAATTCATCAGGAAGGAAACACTATGTGTAAGATGTGTAAAGAAATGGGCTGGAGCACTCCAGTATTTTGCCCCCAGAATTCCCCTCACCCACCGCTGTATATCCATACCTCTCTGATGGCAGCACAGAATTTGCTCTGCAGGACTCTCTGGAGGGCCTGCAGTTTTGGAGGAGGCAGTTCCCCACTCCGCTGCAGACGGTCCAGCAGCTCGATCACCCTGCACACATCTTACAGACAAAACACACAAGCTTATATTACCCACACCTGCAGCGATTTTCGTGGGTAAGTTTTGCTGAAGCTATTAGCTCTCTCTGCTCAGTATATGTCATCAAACAGTGTGAACCGCTATCAATGCTGTGTTTAAAGTGTCTTAAAGGAACATGTGAGAGAGAGAGAGCGGACAGCAGACCCAGTGAGGAAGAAAGCCTGTGTTGTGTGGAGTTACAGAGTTTAGCTGGATTATTTCAGGTATGGTAACAATGCAGCTGATTAACGTAAGTAACCAAAGTTATAACAGAAGTATACTGATTACTGTCAAGTTAGCAACATGTTGGAACAGTCTTTATTATTTATGAAAGCGGATCTTATTTACAACAGCTGAATAATTTAAGTACCAGCTGCTGGTAGACTGTCTCTATGTTTCACAGACTCTTAGATCTTTTACTTTCACAGTTATCGCCAAATTTGTACTGTATATTTTTTGTCCAAGCTGCATATGATCTGTTTGAAAGCCTATTGAAATGCTTTAAACAGCATTGTATAAGTCATGCTGTAACCTGTCAACACTGTAATCATGTTTGACTGTGGACCAGATAAATGTGTTGTGCTTACATTAGTATTTACTACCTGTAATTAGGGAATACAATTAGTACATTCAGTCAGGATGTTAAACAGAACAGGACATTTTTAATCCAAAAAATGACAAAACCCTCCTTCAAAATAAAACAGTTTATTCAAAGACAATATTTTTAAATATAAATTGGGTAAATGCATGATTCTGAAGTGGTGTCAGCTGGTTGTCTGACAGTGATGCTGCTTCTCTTCTGAGGGTCTGTGTGATGTGAGTCTGGAAACTTCCAACAGGAGCTTCAGGTCACTCACCTGTAAAACAGCAGATTCACTGTTACATTATACTATCCTCAATAACATCAAATTGTATGACAGGAGGAAAAGGTAACGTTTACTGCAAAATATAGTACATGTGAAGTTATGTCAACAGTGTTAAACATGATAGGAATAAGAGGAATAAGAAACATTGTAAACGTATTGAGAGGTTCAAATAATGACCAAGTGTGCCCAGAGAGACCTGGAGGGGTTATGTTACACTGGAAATGCAATGCAACTGGCTAAATAACATTGTCACTATTGGATCATTCGAGAATTGGAGAATTTAGACAGCAAAACTACTGAAAGAAACTTTTAAACTCTTTATTTTATAATTTTCTGGATTTTCCTTTTCAGGAAATGCAACCCTGTAACTGAACTGTAACCAAGTTATAGTAACAGGTTTGCAAATCAATGCTCAAAGCTTTTACCTCAGGAATTATTGCTAGCTGCAGAATGTTTACTACTACTACTTTCAAGACAAGGACAAACAAAAGAAAGATAACTTTGAAACAAACTTATCTTATTCTGATAATAGGAGGAACAGGGTTGCATTTGTTTGACTGCCACACTCGTTATAGACTGAGAGAATAGAAAAATATGTAAATAAAAGAGAGGACTTACATATAGTCTACCCATGGCAGTAGCCATCAATTCAATTACTGTTGTTTAAAATATGTTTATGATTTATTTTACCATTACAAGAGACATATACTGTATCAACAAAATAATAGCAAAGAAAACAAATAAAAGCCTGTTTTAAAAGTTGTTCACCAAGAAGGAGGGACAAGAAAAAAAGGACTCTTTTTAGGTGGTACACGAGAGCCATTTCAGAAATTCCAAATAATTCAAATAATATTTTTAAACCCTGCAACTTGAATTACACATTGTCAAAGGGAAAGTATATTTAACAAAACAAGTGCATGTTTTAACATTTGGGCATGGATATTTGGAATTGCATAGGTGGTACAGAACATTTCCTCAAATTCTGGAATAACCCTAATATTTCAGTAAGTCCATCTGAATCCTGACAGCACAGTAGCTCTCAACTTAAAGGTCACCTATTATACAAAATTCACTTTTTGATGTCTTTTATACATAAATGTGTCCCTGGTGTGTAAGGAGACTCACAAAGTATCCGAAAATAAAACCCTATTTCTTTTCCTCCGTACCCAAATCTCTAGAAACGGGGGAACAACGGAGCTGATCCAGATTTGCTGCTGAAATGACAACATTACTCAAATGTGGGCTGGCTTTACGCCCACGGCCCCATCAGAAACGTCGCTGTATCAGAAACAATGCTCGACGTCTTAGTCCTTTAGATATGTTTTTTATAGATATGGCCAGTGGCGACTGGTCATTAGGGGCACAGCCCCACCTAGTGTCAGCAGAAAGTATTAAAATAATAATTACCAAAAAAATACATCTTAAAATATATTTTACGATCATGTTTAATCATCTGATTCGTCTGTACATTGCTGTTTTAGTCTGTGTTCTTCTAATTAGTGTCTACAGTGTGCCTATTGAGCCGTTTTGAGCGACGTGGGTCAAGCCCCGATCAAGCTCTGTCTCTCACTGTCTAAGTGAATGGTGACTGTAAAAACGACACTGCGCATGCAGAGTATTTTTCTATTCAATGTGTGCGGCAAAAAAATAATCACCATAGGGGCACTGTGCTGACATACCCACCAAACGTCATCTCACATAATTCAGAACTGATTGGCTGTAAGTACGTGTGCCGCGAAAAGTGTAGTGTGTGAAGAGGAGACGAGAGAGGTGCAGTGACGCGTCCTAAAACCAGGAAGTAAGCTGCGCATGGCTTCCCTCGACGAAAAAGCAATGAGATTTCTCCATAGGATTTTAGAAAATAGCTCGAAATAAGATCTGTGGGAAACGTACCTGTTAGATAAATGCACGTTTTGTTCAGCCGGATAATATCCACATGTCTACCCTACTTTTATAATTTTCTTATCATAAATCTATCGATCATAATAAATCTATCGATTAGATTTATGATTCGACTTTTGAACCTACAAGAAGATAAGGAGGACTTTTACAAAAAAGTAAGAGATTTTTGTCCAGAAGGATAGGCAAATGGACTTCATCTTCAAGTCAAGGTAAGACCACAATTTTATTGAAAATGGGATCTTACTAAGAGAGAAAAATCCAATATTTAAATAATAAGATTACATTTTTTGGGTATCCTTTTGTTGAACTGTCTGTTTAAAATTAATCGAAGTATCAGACAAAAAAAGCTTTTGAAAATAATAGAATATTTTGATTTAGGTCAAAATATAATATTTGTAAACCTGAAGAGTCAGTGCCAGTGCCTCACCAGCCATGAACCTCACTGAACGTCACTGCAGAAGCTTATATATAAACTAGGGCTGTCAGTCGATTAAAATATTTAATCGCGATTAATCGCATGATTGTCCATAGTTAATCGCGATTAATCGCACATTTTTCATCTGTTCTAAATGTACCTTAGAGGGATATCTTTCAAGTTTTTAATACTCTTATCAACATATGAGTGGAACATTACAAATATTCGCCTCAATTCAACCTGGAACCTCTCTCATACAATAATACAAAGTGTGTGTGTGTGTGTGTGTGTGTGTGTGTGTGTGTGTGTGTGTGTGTGTGTGTGAATGTGGAGACACTGTGATGGATCGTTGGAGCTATGTGCAGCTCAAGGCATATATGCTCGAACGGGAGCTGCCTGGACGCTGCAATCATGTTGCGCGCACTATCCGTGCTGAGTGTGCTGACTTTTCGTACAATGTCCCACTGTCTGGCTACCTGCATAAAGTCAAGTGCTCGGCGCAGTTGTCGGCGAAATGTCGCTCCTCTGTTTTCATTGAAACAGCTCCTTATATCCGTTAGCGCAGCTAGCTAGCACCAGATGCTAACAACAACAACAACACGTAAGGTGTGCCTCGCTCGAGTCGCGCCACACATACACACACCCTCCCGGTCCTCCCGATGGCCAGTCCGGGCCTGCCGGTGAGCGTGGAAGTGTGGTCTGCCACTTGTGGGCGGCAGGAGCGGGGCTGTCAGCATCAGCTTGTAGATGGTATTTTAAACTCGATGCGCTCTGAAACTACGGGGCGGCCGAGGACAAAAAATACACATGCGTTAATCGCGTTAAAATAATTAGTGGCGTTAATTATTTTTGCGTTAACGCGTTATTAGCGCGTTAACTTGACAGCCCTAATATAAACATCTACGTTTTTTGTGCCCCACCACTTTTGTATATATAAAAACGCCACTGGATATGGCCCTATAATATATTGTTAAAATATAGAATAATAGGTGAGCTTTAACGAAGTCAGCTAAATGAACAGTAAAACAGTAAAACTCGTACAGTAATGGCAAAACTTACAGCTTTGAAGTTGGTTGTGTAGTCACGGAGAGTTGGTATGGACCCATTCTTTGTCTCAGTTAAAACGGATATCCAGCTGTGCAGGGTTGAGCTGCCCATTTTGTGACACAATCGCCGATGGTCCTGGATATCATATGGTGTATGCCTGATGTTCATTGGTAAGTTTGGCAGGGGTTACCATGATCACTGTATGGCTTGCTCCGACCGACCAACACATTATTATTGACGTCAAAGAGTATAAATCGTATCCGCTCTATTTTGAGACTGGTTTTCAAATAGGGGGAAACATTTGAAGTTTGTTTATCCTTACACCTTGGGAGTCTCTTCACACCGGTACAAACATATGTAGGTGTAGCAGCAAGAGCATTTGGCATCCTCTGTGACCTTGAACGTTCAAAAAACATTGACTTTAGAGAGAAGGAACCACAAATGTTAAAATGCTAAGGATTTATTCCTTCACCACTCTTATTATCAACAGAGTGCGAATAGACACTGGTTCTCGTTATGATTTAAATAACGCATTTGTAATCACAGTGGCGGAAATGCGCCTGAATGACAGCCATTCAAATGTAATGTTGATGAGACTGTGGCCGTTTCTCAATTGCGAGGATGCTGGCTTGGTAGCACAGCCGAGCCGAGCATCTTGCTTCAGAAGCAAGGCAAGAATACTTCCTGGCATTCGGAAAACAAAGAGTGGAACAGGCTAGCAAGTGTGCGTCATATGAGAGGCCCCGCCTTACATCTTCCGCCACAGATTTCAATAGTATGAAGCTGCAGCCTCGGAGGAGGATGCACTCTCAGGACCGCATGCACTCTCAGGACCGCATGCACTCTCAGGACCCTAGTTGTTTTGCAACATCGCCACCTAGTGAGCAGGAGACATGAATATGAACGACAACGCAGAGAGTGTGAGTAGTGTGAAGTGCTTTTAAAGTTTTATTTGTTTAACATTAATAACAATTCCGGTGTCTTGAAATGAAGTGTGATTAGCTAACATTAACTATGATAGTCTTAAGGCAATACAAACAAACATCTGTTAGCTTATGATAGCTTCTAACAGTATTAAAGGCACTAAAAACAATTATTTGTTAGCTATAGCTTTCGGCAAAAGCTAATTCCAAAAGGAAGCCCACTTCAACTGGCTTGACAGTAAGTTTATAAAGTGTCTTTACTTCTGCCTTCTCCTATCCTAGTATTATGAAGTTGATTGACTAAGAGTAAGGTCAGCTAAATTAAGGAAGGTTTTGTTGTTTTTCTGTCTGAATTGTAATTTTCTTATGACATTCTACTTCAGGTGTCGTCAACTGGAATGTCTTCTCAGAGGGACACAAAAGGGAATTTCGGAAGGAATACCAAATTTCCAGGTGCTTTTACTGCGACAACCTTTATAAGGACGTTGGCACAGGCTACCGGGGAAGTGGACGGCGAGGAGTGTTGCAGGGTTTTTACTCAGAAGAGGGCTTCCCGGGGTACTGCAGCTGTTGCTGTTGTCTGGTGGTTGAGGGAACAGCAGACCCCGCCTCACCCCAGTGAAGAATCCACAGTGCCCAATAAATAAAAATGTATTCTGCACTGAAATTCCTCTCGTCAAATTGCATGTTTATCTTTTGCAGCCTGGTGCATAAACACACTAACAGTTGTTTTTGAGTAATCTAGCACCTCTTCAAAGACACATTTGATTTGATTTATTTCGAACGTGTAATACAATAAAATATATATATATATAATAATGAAATGAAACAAGAGAATTATGATACTGTAGAAACATAAGCAGTATCAAATTGATTCAAAGGAGTTTACACTTATTTAACCCCACCCCTTCTCCCAAAAACTAAATTAACAGTTTTCTTTTAACAAAATATACATCTAAATGTATGTCTACATACAATATACATTTACAATTATAAATAGATTATATCATTATTACTACAATATATATATATATATATATATATTTATGTTGTATGTCAAATTTGATAAAGACAAATATAAAAGACTATCTTTTTACATCTGACATACAAAATACATTTGTTATTAAAAATCAAAAACATATTAACAACTTGTTAATAATAATAATGTAATTTCAGTAAGAAAAACATATTTTCATGCATTTTTAGATGGTTAATAACAAGCATTACAATGTCTAAAGAGACTCGCAGTGTATGAGACTCAATACTCGCTGGTTGTACTTTTGCGGTCATCCAATCCGCTAGGTGGCGATGTTGCAAAACAACTAGGGTCCTGAGAGTGCATGCGGTCCTGAGAGTGCATCCTCCTCCGAGGCTGCAGCTTCATACTACTCACAGATTTGGGGAAATTGGTCCATGCGCAAAGCATTGTGGGGATTTTAAGGACGCGAAGTCTACCCATGCGCAGCCTCGAAATTTCCCCCAAACCAAGGACGCGGCCTCGGTGGAATTCCAAGTATGCTGGAGATTGGAACAGTCCTTCGGCGGCACTCGATGACGTAGCATCCTTGAAATATTGGCTTGGAAGCCAATATCCTCGCGATTGAGAAACGGCCTGTTTTAGGCTTGACCGCACCTAAACTGGCTGCATCCGCGTCATAGCTTTAACCAGAGGTGCACGCGCTGCACCGCGCGAACTACTCTCAGAAATAAGCACGATCAGACTTAGTCATTCGATGTTTATATAGCAAACTGGGCAATGAAGCACGTTTGCACTAAAGGTTGTCCTTTATCCACTGGCATTGTGTGAACGGATATTGCAGTTAATGAAAAGAAAGAAACGTGCGAGTGCCCGAGTTATTGCTCGTGCTTCAAACATGTGTAGGAATAAACGCGGCATATACACTAATGTGAATTACTTGATAACCAAGAAATAACGCCTTCATGTGTACTATTGTCATTTTAGTCAAAGAACCAACTGTGCATCGCTGCCATCTTTAGAAAAGGCTGCGGTGTTTTTTTTAATCTACAGTTCTGTTAGCCAGCCCAATGCAGAGTGGACGTTACCTCTCTCCAGGCAGAGCGGCTCTGTCATGGCCGCCATGTCTGCTTCCTTGGCAGGGTGATAGTAAGAGGACATCATTCTGGTCTCCTCCGGTCCAGGCTGCCCGTCTAACACTCCGTAATTGAGCAGAAACTGGTTCACAGATATGCGTGTTCCATCTTCGATGAAAGCATGTGAGGGTCGGTAGCAGGGTGAGGCTGGTGGTGCTGGGTGAGGCTCAGCGTCCTGTGCTCACTGCGGGCTGTATAATGAGCAGCTCAGCATCTTCTGGAAGAACCAGGAGCGCGCTTCAACTGCGCGCATTTAAAGCTGAGCCAAATAACTACATGTCATATTCTAATACAAATGTCCACACCAGTTGTTCCACACAACATTATTGATGCTGTTCAAATCAATTGTGAACATATTGTTACATGTTCAAGTACCTATGGCCAGCTTACTTTTATACTGCATTTAGATGATTGGAAGAAAAAAAAGATTGAAAAAAGCAGTTAAGTCACAATAAGAAGGAGCTCTGGCTTTAAGCCACACCTTTATTAAAATGACTATGCAAATCTAACATACAAGCAGCAGACATAATTTAAAAAAAAACTTTATTCCAGAATGAATAAACAGAACAGCCCTCAATTGTCACAGAGTACTACATTTCCTTCAATATCACAAACATTGGAGAGATTTGTCACTTAGTTTCAAATGAGCATACAATCTAACTGCTTAATGATTCAGAAATAAAAGACAACACAATCTACCCATCTAAAAAGTATAGCTTGTGTTTCTACACTTCATCCCAAGCCAAGTGAAAAGAAAAAACCTACCAGTTTGCACCCAAGGCAATCTGATAACATTAAGTGGCACGGATTAGTTGGGCAAAGCAGGAGAGCTGCAACTATAGTGAGATCAATTAGTTAAGTGATTTAACTGTGCGTGCAACAATAGGAACATTTCAACAGATTCTGAAAGATGGGAGGGTGGCTAGATGCCTTGAACTGAAGTAGCCCTGACATCCTTTAGGGTTAGGGCCAATTCAGAGTATAGTATGAGAAAATGTATGAGCGGGAGCCTGCTGGAAGAAGATCTCAGTACTCCTCTCCTGGGGCCTCCATCTTGTAGCCATTTTCACTGGAACCATAGCCATCAGCGGATGGCACAGACTGCTGGTCGATCATCCCGTCCTGACTGTACTCATCCATGTGTGGAGGCGCTCCCCCCTCATCCTCATTGCCCATCTCATCTTGGGGTAGCGCATCATCTCGTAGGGAGCCGTGGCGCTCCTCTCTGCGTTCCCCCCTGTCTCTCTCCCCCCGCTCCCTCTTGTGCTCCCTGTCTTTGTCACGGTCTCCCCTGCGTCTGTCTCTGTCTCTGTGGCTGCGCCTGCGGTCTCTTTCCTTTTCTTTACGCTCTTCCATGCCCTCACCCACTTCACCCTCATGTTCCTCCAGCACCCGCTCCCCACCCTCCGCAGCCCCGTCTGCTTGACTGACCTCCTCCCCTTCCAGACCTTTGCCCCTCTCCCTGTCTTTCTTACGATCTCTGCTCCTGCTCCTTCTCTTCCGTTCTCGACTCCTCTCCCTACTCCTGTCGTCTTCTCCCCCTGCTCCGCCACGTTCCTTCTCTCGCTCTCGACGCCGGGTACTACCAATGCTATCCTCCACTGCTCCAACCGGTCTTTCTCTCTCCCTCTCTCGAGAACGGGTACGCCTACGACGTTCGCGGGAACGGGACCTTCGGCGTTCTCTGTCCTTGTCCTTGTCTCTGTCACGCTCCCGGCTGCGCTCCCTCCGCTCCCCTCGCTCCCCACGCTCCCGATCACTAAGAGCAGGTCAAATTAAAGATCGTTTTACAAAAAAGCGATACATTTTATACTAAAAACAGATCTTTCCTGAAAGTACTTACCCGCCAATAGGCCGATCGTCATAACGTGATGCATCATCTCGGCCTGAGTGCTTGATGTTGACATCGGCTCCCCCTCTCCTAGTGCCACCCAATCCACCACCTAGTTAAAGGAAGAAAAGGAAAAAGATAAATACGTGTCAACTTGTGACCATAGCATCAATCATCACACTTGGCTTTGTCGGCAAACACCCAATGTGTGCCATACAACATTTGAGTCATCCTAGTGGAGATGCTGACTTGTAATTAGCTTTGACAAACCTAAGTCTCAAAATGTCCGAACTAATACAAATTAGCATGTTTATGAAGGGGGTTGGAAAGAGCAACAGGACAGGAAGCAGTGATGGTGAGAGGTTGATGTTACGCTGCTGCTCCGCAGTTTCTGAGAGTGACAAGAGCCTGTGAATAATATCTATGCGGTAGGTGTCTTGAGGTTAATAAGAGGTAATCATTGAGACATAATTAGTAACTTCAGTTACACATAGACATAGAGTATGTATGTAAACAAATAACAGATTTAAGAATGAACCACAACACATCCGACACCCTGAGTTTTTCTTTACAGGAGTTCACCATTTGTACAAACACATTTGAGCTGTAAATGAGAAACAGCTGACCTAGCCGACGAGGGTGCCATCCTTTGACAGTGCGTCCTCGTTCCACATCCACCAACACTCTCCTACCGTCGATTTTCTTCCCATCTGCGTGTTTGTAGGCGGCTGGAGAAGAAAAATGGAGAAAGGGAAAGGCAGACGTGAGATATTTATATGACCATCAATGTGGCCAAGGAAACAAACAGTGCATTATTATACTGACCAGGAGCAGGCGAGGCCGAGATGGCTGCTCTCTGGGTAAAAGCCGAAGGAAATGGGAGCAGACTTCCTTCCACCCGATGAGTGACTTCTATGTTACACTTTTTACTGCATCTTTTAAATACCCAGCTCTATTTTTTAGCAATGATAGTAGTAATCCTATATATTTCTTAAAGTACTGTTATCATTGCAACTTAATATATCGGGTACCAATATGTGACTTTTCTGTTTTTTTACAGGTTGAATTTCTAAAATTTCTATCATATTAGTAAAACATGGTTTGAGGTTTTTGTACAAAGTTTAGACACTATTTGGCCATGACAAAAGCTTGGCAGATAACCCGATAACAGCATGTCACTAGTCAGGGAAATCGAATGCATCTTAAACTTTTAGCTGTAGGATTTTTCTCATTGAATACATTGGCATGGTAGTAGAATGTTCTGTGATAGCAGCTTTGATCTCTGGAGATATTTTACAAGCTTTATGGGAGATCAACATTGATAAAAAAAGGGGGCTCCGACATTTGGCAGATTTCAAACCTCGTATCTATTTAGACCTAGTACCACACCTCGTTCCATTATACCACACAATAGTCTCTGATCCATCTGTGAAAAATGAAAGTTGACATCTGGCTCATCCTGGCTGCTACACTGGTCTGTAGTAGTGACGATCCCTGAGGAGAAAACTGAACATCCAAAAGCAGGGCCTTACCAAAACCCATCAGTAATCACAGTCCGAGGGCCTTACCAAATCCTCAAATACACATTCTGAGGGCCTTACCAAACTCCCTCACTCATACTATACAGAGGTCTTACCATGCTCTCTCACTAAAGGGCCTTTTAAAGTCTCTGCCCCATTCTTAGGGCCTTACCAAACTCCCCCAGCACCAGAATACACATACCATTACCAGACCTCTATCAGGGGCCTTACCAGCACCCCCCCCACCCCCCTTTATGAGTTCACTTAGGATGACATCATTCATCCAATGATAGGGCCTTACCAAACCCCCACCAGTCCTAGCAAAACTGAAAAAACAACATTGTCTTTTGTAAACCTACAAATTCAATGAAGTCTTGTTCACTGACATGTTGTTGATCTTAAGTGTTGTGAAATATCAGTAATCCAATGTCTCAACCTATTTACTGACATGAAACTGTAGAAACAATTTCTTTAACATTTTTGACTTTACTATTGTTATGAGTTCATGTGTAAGGCTACAAAAACTAGTGTCTACCTTTGTTATGTAGTGAAGACATGTATGGAAAGCCCATTTAGCAGTTACAAAAATAACTCCCCTCATCGACCATTTCTATTAAAGCCAGCTCAGTCCCCTTAGTTTGGACAGTATTGTACATCAACCCCAGCTGGATTTAATATTTTATAAATGAAAAGGGGTCGTGGCTAATTAGCACCTACAACCTGCCGGACAGAGAACATTTTGCTCCAAAATAATTGGCAGATTAAGGAATAAAGTCACAGAAAGGTTTATATGTATAAATTGTGACACAAAAGTATGGATTGACATGCACAGGATAATAAAATAAACTGTTTGGTTAAGATAAATGTGCCTGTACACAGTGCCAAACTGACATGAAGATTTAATATACTTTTTCAAAATTATTAGTCGACAGTCAATGCAGGTTACATTTTCTGTACAGCCTACATAGTTACAGAATACTAAGGAACCTACCACATATGTTTCTGTATTTAAAGGAATAAACTCATGAGAATCATTTTACTGATGTGGCTTCCCTGCTGGATTAAATTACAATTAACTCCACAAAAATGTGCAAGGATTTACAGCTGTGTAACATTTCACTTGGATTTCACCCTCCCTTTGCCCTTGCATACAGCTAAATTATTGCTATTGAGAAGCATACGCCCTACTGAGGTGGCTTCAACAAAAAAGGCAAAATCATTGGGTAACATTTAAAAAGCTAGTGGTCAGGGGTGCGTTCAATGGTCAAAGCCTAACATCCAAGTAGTAGTTACTGCAGTAAAAGCCCTTTAAGGCTTGCAAAGTAATACACTTTACCCATTGAACGTAGCTCCTCTTTCCTATGTAGGAGATGGAGGGTGGAAAGAAATCTTACCCATCATACAAACCCATTATACCAACCATATACTGAGCTGTGGTAGTAGGGTGTAGATGTATCATAACCATCATCATCTGCCAGCCAGCTCTGGCCAATAGCCATCACAGATTGGCGGCTGCAGTGGCAATGAGAACAACACACAGTTAATATACTGTTTAGCCCCACATCCCCCTCAGTTCACCCCCTGATGTGACGACATGATGCTGTGGTCTTGACGAGGCAATTTTATATCTTAGAATGGTGTTATTGGGCTAGATTGCACCATTCACTCGTCTAATGACAGTACTCCCTATTCACTATGGCATCACCATCAGTTTAAAATCTACTCTAACTCAGTAAATTGAACCAATCTCACATTGACCAGGTTTGAAGACTACCAATAAACACGTTTGCCAAAACAAGCTAGGTTTCCAACAGTCCGTAAAACATTTTTGGCCAACAAGCTATTGATGCTTGGTGACCAATATGACCATTGTGCTTACCATCACAGTCCCACCAGGAAAGATGATCTTCCACAGAGCTACCACGCTTAACAGTTTAAGACAGTGTGCCCTTTGAAAGGCCAGAGGTTGAGGTTCACAGGTGAAAGACAGTTCTACCTCTTGATCCTCCCTCTTTTCCCAGAATGCCCCACTGAATGAAGTGGTTCCCCTCCTCAACCAGACTATTAGTCAACCAATGACACGCATCAAACACAGACACACACATCACACAACCACCAGACTCTGGTTTCAACATGCAATTGGAAAAACATAAATCTGGTAAAGTACTCTGATTCTTTGGATTCAATAAACCATATATTTGGTTTGATTAGATGGTAGTCACCCTTGTAAGGGAGAATGTTGACAACCCAGGATCATTCCCTAAAATATCAATATAGTAAAAAGGAGAGGGGGTTCAACTGAAGAGCCCGCCTGCATGTCAGACATCAGTCTTCATAAACCTGTGATCATACATCATCATGGTTTTGGCTGAGAGCTCTTAATATTGGTACTCACAGTGCATGTCTCGTTCATGCTCATACTCAATGAATGCATAGCCCCTAGGCTTTCCCGTCCTCTTGTTGTAGACTATGTAAATCTGAAACAAACAGGAATGGAGGCATTAGTTGGCTGTGGAATTCATCTTTACCCAAACAGATCTACCACACCCATTAGATATACAGGCCACAAACTTTAGTTGAATCCAAACCAGCTGAAACTTAACAATAATAAAATATAGACTTGTTTAATATGCCATCTAAAAACATCTTTCTGTAAATACTTTTGTGACCTTGAACTGTTTATTTTCGAATGGTGATTAAGCGATTAAAGCGATGCGAAGATTTGCAGCACTTCAATTGCTCAAGTTTGACCGCAGCTGTCAGCTGTTTTTACTTGTGTTATTTAACCAAGACGCGCTGGCTAGGAGGCAGGGCTTATGTCCATGTAGATACCAACAAAAGTAGACTAAACGGCAGATAAATTGTGGCGCAGTTGCGCTTCAGATGAGGCCCCCTCATAACGGCAGATAAACTGTGGCGCAGTTGCGCTTCAGATGAGGAGGTGAGGCCCCCTCATAACGGCAGATAAACTGTGGCGCAGTTGCGCTTCAGATGAGGAGGTGAGGCCCCCTCATAACTGCATGAACCCGTATGGCACAATACAACTCAGACTGGCTTACCTGTACGTCAATCAAGTGGCAAATGCCATAGTAAGGATGGATGATAGGCTAACTTAAAAAAAAAAAAGTCTTTCAATGCCATGCGATCTACCCACACTACCTTTGCGAACGACCAGTCGATCGACGTATTGGGCACCCCTGCCTTAGACAGTCTGTAGTTTGTACATTCAGAACTTTTCTCCAGTTTCTGAACAGATATGAGGAGCTGTGAGCTCTGTGTGCTAACAGCTAATGTTTTGGTTTTCTGATTCAACGCCAGGCAATCACGCCACAAGTGTGAATTTGCGACTATGCCTTGACATGTAATCGGGCACCCTAAACAAAAATAGCATCACGTCCGGTGTGAATGTACCTTCAGACTTGCAGTTTTATTAACAACAGTGTTCAAATGTGATTTAAATCACTATTTCGAATTTTCTGCTAAACTGACGATGCACAACTGAATCTATTTAAGAAAGCATATTCAAACCAATTGGGAATTGTACACAATGTATGTTTCCTATCTTTGCTGCTTAGGTTTTTTTTTTTTTAAACACAACAATGACAGACTAAGGAAAAACATTTATATTAATGGATTTAATGTCTTGGCTTGCCGGCAGTACAGTACAGTACTTGCAGGAAGATGTTATGGCTACTAATTGAGGAATTAAGAGTATATAATCAGTTGGTGTAATTAAAGTTACGTTTGTACAGGTCTCAAGATGTGAGAAACAGAAACTGAACATACCCGCTTGATGGGACCATAGACCTCAAACTCACGGCGAAGCTTGGACTCTGTAGTATCATAGTTCTACAGTAGAAACAGAATAACATTAGACATAAACCAAAAATATTAAATCACATTACCTTTGTCTACAGACCACATTTCAAAACACAAATTCATTTGTTTCAACATACTCACCACTCGTGCAACAAACAAAGTCTTGAAGGCATCCCCTTGTGCATTGGGATCATTATGGGGGTCCCCTGACATAATGCAAATGGTAAAATGAAATTAGTTCACGACAAGTAACCATATACAGTGAAAAAGCATAAATTGTACGGCACTAGAAAAACGTACAAAGCTTGAGCTCCGTCTCCACCACTGCTTGTCTCCTCTCAATCTTCTCTCGCCTCTGCAAAACAAAACATTTGCAGGAAATGGTCAATCTTCCACAACTGTACAGACACCCATGTTTCAGAAAGAATCGTATCAAAAGCAGCTGTAAACTGAACATTTGTGGTAGAATCATGCATGAATCAGGTCAAGTAAGTCAGTAGAAAAATAAATAATACAATATTTGTAATTCTATATTGACATATGTAAGTGGGACACTGTCTGTATTACAATTGGACAATGCTAGTCTTTGCTAAAAAAAAAAATCCCCCTGTTGGGATTGAAGGATCATTTTGCCCACTGGCATCAGCTTTAATGATAATAAAAAAAAGTGTATACAGCAACCCAATGAGAAGAACAGACAGGTAAATATATGATATGGATGTTAGCCATTGGTATCAGAGGAGTCGGTGCATTCAGGCTCTATTTATTAGAACGAATATTGGGAGAAAATATATAAGATTATAACAAATAAAGGTTTAAATGTGTTTGGATATCCCTGTTTGAACTGTTGGATTAATAGTGGAAGGTGCATTACACCACCTAACACCACCTAAACAAGACCATCCCTCGACTGGCTCTGGAACTGCTTTGGTAGGAAAGGGGTATGAGGGAGTTAGAGTTCAGTGGCTGAGCGGGGTGAAGGTGCCAGAGCTATGCATAACACTGGCCTATATAGGAGGGTGGCTAGAAAGACGCCATTATTCAACTATAGTGATATCAAAGCATGTCTGGAGTTTGCCAGAAAGGATTAGAGTGACCCTTTTAAGATTTGGGAGAGGGTTTTAGGTCTGATGAGACAGAGATGCAGATGTTTTTTCTCAAAATTCAAAGCCCTAGGTTTGGCACAAATCCGCAAATTTGCCCATGCCTCGAGGAATACCTCTCATGTTGCTTGATACTTTTCATCAGCAGGGACTGGGCATCTTGGATGGAGCAAAATACATGGAGAAAAATACGGTGGGCCGGTTTAGCACGTTTGCCCCTGTCGGCCACCTGGAAATTGCTTTAGTGTGCTACAAAAAAACAACTTTGGAGAAACGAAACCCTTCAGCAGGACAAGGATCCAAAGGACAAGACCAAAATAACACAGCAGTGGTAAAACAATAGAAAGGTTAATGTCTTAAAGTGGTCAAGTCAAAGTCCAGATCTCAACCCCATCAAAACACTGTTTGAAAACTGCGGTTCACAGGCATCATCCAACCAACCCGAACAACCTGGAGCCAATCTGCCAAGAAGAACGGGCAAAATTCCCTCCAGAACACTGTGCAGAGCTGGTAATTCGGTTATCTTAGAAGACTTCAGGCTGTTATTGCAACAAAGGGTGGCTCTAACAAATACCAATGTGTAGGGGTTGTGATGCATATCCCTCATCCCCATAAGTGAATGTGTTTCAGTCTGAATTGACGCCGTTTGGCATCACAACGCCGTTATTAAAGTTGTTCTGGTATCAGACAGGTTATGGCACCTCTCCAGCTACCAGTATCTGCTCTGATGGGGACTCGAACCGGTGACCCATCTCTTTCCTAGTCCCTACAGATTGAGCTACTGCTTTGATCCCAAAAGGTGATGCCAGAACCCATTTTAAACTATTGTTTTAAAAATGTATAATATTCAAGGCACTTGCTTAAAGTATCCCCAACAAGGAGTTTGTCAGCCATGATCAAACCCACTATCTATGCTTTCACTGTCAATTACTTTGACTATGCTACAGCATCACATACGAGAATATTTTACAGGCTGGTTTGTACTGTATCGATGTCCAAAAAAAAAAGTACTGATGTTCCATCATCAGATTATAGCAGCATCTATGCAGGGTTTTAGACAGCCTTAGTTTTAGTGTCTCATACACACGGCTGTTACATCCTGAGCCTGAACTAGCACATCTACATAAGTGTGGGGGGGGGGGGGATCATGTCAAGGTCATCATTTCATAGCTCACCTTTCTCTCCAGCCGCTCATCACGGGTCTCTGCCCTTGTGGGTGGGGGGGCATCTCTAGGATCCTGATCACATAGGGATTTAAAAAATAATAATTAGAATGGGAACGTTCGCTAGAAAAAGAAAGGTAACAAAAATCAACACATAAAGATATAACAAAAGAATAGCTACTGACCTCGAAATGCCTGATGAATGGTGCGATGCCGCTGTACGGCTGGTTGTGATGCTTCTCATGGGGTAGCTTCTCCAACTGAGACAGGAAAGGGATCGGGTCCCGTGGGGCAAAGAGAGCCAGCAGATTCGGGGGTAAAAACTGCGTCATCTTTCACCTAATAATAACAACAGTTAATACCATACAATTACCAAACACGAACTTCAACATAAAAATACCAGTAAATCGCAGGCCCACACCAAGAACGGAAGCTCGCAGACAGCACACACATGTGCCGATTGTTGTTTACGACTTCCATCAGATACCCAGTGTGTACGTTTTATCACAAAACCAAACATCATTGTTTATACACAAACATTGTGTTAATTCTAGATAGAACTGACGCAACAATAGTTTACCTCCGGTCATCATCGCTACAGCACTGGGACCGTAGTGAAGGTATTCAACCGAGCATTCAAGCTAAGCATGCTATCAATGCTAACAAGGAGCCTCGAGCTTATTTCTTACCCTCTCTCCTCCAATATCTTCAGAGATCACACCATGAACCAGGAGGACCAGCGAACGGTGCAAGCAGGCCTACCGAGCCACGTTACTTTAGCAAATCGATGGACCAACAATAAGTTAAAGGTGGTCCGCTGAACGTGGACAGGCCGTTCGGCGACAGATAGTTGAACGTGTGCGTTGTTTAGTTGTGGCGGTGGTGCGGTTGGCTGTATGTTGAAAATAAAATGGCGGGATGCCGTAAATCGACGAGAACTGACGTAAACCGCACATGCCGTGATTCACAATCCCAATCCAACACGTCCCACATACACCCCCATCTAGGATAAATTCAAAACCAAATGTATCACACCTTTACCTAGAATTAAAGCATATGGCATCACCATTACAAACTTAAAGAGGCAACCAAAACCAAATATATAATTAATATAATAAAAAATAAATATTTCCTTTTGTATTTTATTTACCTTTTCTTTATCTTTCTTCTTTTTGTAACCCCTTATGTATGTGTAGGCCTACCTGTATTCCCCAAATGTCAAAGTTGTATGTATGTTGTGTGTATGATGTTCATATATTTTTTTGAATAAATATGATTTGAAAAAAAATAAAATTATCATTCTTAAATGTAAAATATGTTAACATGTTTTTAGTAGCAGTTACTTGTAGAATGTTTTCCATTGAAATATTTTGGACTAATCAATTGTTTCAAGATATCAAAATGTTAATTTCATCTTCCCAGAAGGAGCTGACTGTTCTGTCAACTTAAACTATGCATCATTTAATTTTAATTGTATCTAACTAAGTGTCATAGTTAGTGTAAGCAACAGGAACGCCCTGTTTCTACACTTTGGAATACTCTTCTCTTTCATTTAAAAGAGCAGAGTATTTTTTCCAGCAGTGCCTTTATAAAAGCAGCATCTGAAAGTGTGGCTGATTAGTCAAGGAGTTGAACGATGGGCTCCTTCAACCTGACCTACTGAAACAAGTGGAGAAATAAGCCTGAAGAAAGTTTTGCATTACAAATCACCACCACCTACCCTAATTTGGTTCAAAAAATGTTTAGGTTTGTACGCTGTTACCAGTAAAACATTTGAAAGTTTATTACAATAGTGAAATGGTGCAGGAGTTATTTAATGGTTGACTCCCATGTTCCTGTTGAAGTACAAAATCCAATACTTTTTTCAATGCACACGTATATTGCTTTAAATTCAATATTCTTTGCCAAAATAATCCTTTCACCTGACAGGTGTTGCTGATTAAACAGCATGATTTCTACATGTGTGCCTTGGGCTGGTCAAAATAAAATGCCACTCTAAAAAGTCCAGTTTTTTCACTCTGAATTAGGCTAGTACATGGGGTGTCAAACCTGTGTGCCTGGTGTGTTAAGTGCTCAAAGAACATAATATTTGGCACCACTAATGGCGCATTTCCACTACACGGTCGGCCTCGGCCACACTCGGTACGGCTCGGTACGGCTCGGTACGGCTTGGCCGCGTTGGGCCTTAACAGGGCCGACTCACTTCATGCTGCGCTTCCATTAAAGTTTAGGAACTGGGGTAGTTACTATAGTAACGCAGTGTAGGCGGAGCCGTGACGTCATCTTCAATGAGAACTCTCTCTCTAGTTTAGCATACTCAGCCCGACTCAGCCCTGTTTGTTGGCCCCGATAGAACCACAATTTTGTCGGGCCAGAAAAGAGGTGAAAAAGTGGCCCCGGGCCGGGCCGGGCCGTGACTAGGCCTAGTGGAAGCACAACCAAAAACGGGCACGGCACGACACGGCACGCTTAAAGCGAGCTCCGCGCTGTAGTGGAAATGCGCCATAAGAGACTCATCATGGCAAAAAATACAACAGCTTGCAAGGAGAACTGAGAAGAGAGAAGATAAATAGATAAATGAATTGTTAGAGGGTCTGAAGAAGCAGCAGTCTGTTTTTTACCCCTAGCTGAGATATCAGTGATGCAGCAGTGAAAGCTAGCTACCTTATTAGTAGCGAAATAGCTTTACCATCAACGCCATAGCCTACTGTCAGGGTAAATTCGTGAAAACATGCATGCTGAAGGCTGCAGAAATCATGAGCCCTGAGAAGCGACAGGCTAAGCTAACATTAGCCTGACGAGAAACACTGTGGCAAATAGGATTTCTGATCTTTCTGTCATGTTTTGCATTTATGATTGCAATAAATGAGAGAGAAAAAAAAGTCGAATTGGATGCCCGCAAAAGTACAACCAGCGAGTATTGAGTCTCATACACAGTGAGTCTCTTTAGACATTGTAATGCTTGTTATTAACGATCTAAAAATGCATGAAAATATTTTTGGATGATTTAGTTTTATTTTGTGTCTAACTTTCTATTGCTGGGAAATGAGGGTGGAAGTGAATCGCTCCCTTCTCTCTCACCGCCCCCTGTCCCCATCCTCCCTCCCTCCCTTTTCCCGTTCTCCCAGACCCCTCTGGAGTCTCCGAGTGGTATTTTATCATGCTTTAATTAAGTGTTCGTCTTAATGGAATGTACCAACGTACCAACATTCCCCATTCCTATGGCGGCAAATCTCTGTCATAAATCACGAGGGCATATGAGATAAACAACTTCTAGTGCGAGAAAAACAACTTCTAGTGCTCAAAACTATAAAATATTCAATAATTTTCTGGATTTTAACCCTTTAAATGCCTGTTTGATTATTTGAATGACCTCATTATTTATTACAAAAAGACACAAAAAATTACATATTTTCAATATAATAATTAGTAGGGAGATGGGGCTTTGGTGGTTATTAGAGTCTTGGATATGTCAAAGATTAACAACAAAATTGATCTGATTGCATTATTATGTTTTGCGTAGTCAGAGGGTGTTTCTCAATGTCGAGGACGCTTCCTTGGTAGGACATGTCCCTCCGAGTCAGGTCTTTCAGAGGCTATGGCAAGAATCCTTCCTTTCATTCGGAGAATGAAGAATGAGACAGGCTAGCAAGTGTGCAGGTGGTCGTCATATGAGAGGCCCAGCCTTACATTTTCCGCCAAAGATTTTGGAAATTGGTCCGTGCGCAAAGCATTGTGGAGATTTTAAGACCGCGGAGGATACACTGGTGCATCCTCGAAATTTCTCGCAACGAAGGATTCAGTCCTCGGTAGAATTCCAAGGATCCTGGACATTGGAACAGTCCTTTGGCGGGATTCGATAACGTAGCATCCTTGAAATAGTGGCTCTGGAGGAGCCTTCCTCGACATTAGGCGCTTTCACACCGGAGTACTTTTCCCAGGAATAGTTCCTATAGTTACTGGGATTTTATGTTCACACTGGATCTGGAACTAGAACTTTTCTTTGCAAACCTTTTGCGAACCTTTTCACCCCTTTGTAGTCCCTGCTAGAGAGCAGGTACTTTCCTGGGAGAAAAAGGTTCCCATTTCTGATTGGTTGGGCGAATGGCAAACCACGGCCCGTAAAAACACTTTTTGTTGTGAAGCCGCCATTGTATTTGCTGGCATTAGCATTATTAGCATTAGCATTATCCCAGCGCACCAACGGAGAGAGACTAACTTATGGCAACACAAAAAAAAACATGGGAGCGTTCTGGCGATTTACTCGGAAGGCTTCAGTAGAAGCTGCTGGGAGTCCCAGTAGCTTCTACTGAAGCCAGTCCCCAACTCCGGGGACTTCCGGCCGGGGACTTCGGATGGCAGTATACGCCATGAAGTTGTTTGCGGCCTGCCAGTAAACCCAAAGCAGAAGAAGAAGAAGTGACGTCAGCGGCTTCATTTGCCTAATCCACCCTCAGGGACTTATTCCGGTGTGAACGCGATCTGCTCTTTAGTTCCGATTAACTAAGTACTGGGAACTAAGTACGGCAAAGTACTTGGTGTGAATGCGCCTATTGAGAAACACCCAGATACTACCTCTGGACACCTTCGTGGCCAAAAATGCCTCATTGACTTCCATTCAAACCACATTTTTTGATCTCACTGCCATTGCAGTATAAAACCATGCATTTTGTAATGTCAGCATTTCATTTAGAAGAAAAGTAGTGATATTTGACATTTCTACTATATTCCACCAGATTCAACCACTTTCCCACTGTAGGCCGATGCATGAAATTCTTGTATTTTTGCCAGTGATATTATGTTATATATGGGGGCCCCAAGAGTGGTGTGTGTGTGTGTGTGTGTGTGTGTGTGTGTGTGTGTGTGTGTGTGTGTGTGTGTGTGTGTGTGTGTGTGTGTGTGTGTGAGAGAATCTGTAAGCATGCACTGATCATTTTAGGGGTGAAAAAAGGGCATCTTTTGAGGGATGTGTTTCTAAAAAAAAGGGCAATAAGAATTACTAAAAATGTTGGCTATTGGGAACATACAACTCCCAGGTAATATTCAAATACATTTCAATAATCATGTCCTGACGTAAAACTGTTTAAAAAAAGGTATAAGGACATGATCTTCGCAAGATACAGGGATGACATTATTTAATCATAACTGTGTTTTATTTATTTATTTATTTGGTTTGTTATTTTATTTTTTCTTGATTACCATTTACCTCTTTTATGTATTTGTTTTTTTTGTTATTTGTTGTCATTATGTTTTTGTTTTTTAATAACAAATGTATTTTGGATGTTAGATGTAAAAAGATAGTCTTTTATATTTGTCTTATAAAATATGACATACAACGTACATTTTATATTATATATATATATTGTAGTAATAATGATATCTATTCTATTTAGAATTGTAAATGCATATTGTATGTAGACATACATTTAAAAATAAATGTTAATTTAGTTTTTGGGAGAAGGAGTGGGATTAAATAAATGTAAACTTCTTCCCACGTCTTTTCGGATGTGTAATTAGGTAGATCATTTGTTTATATATAATTTGTAAGTCAATAATATTTTGTTTATCAATGTGATACTGCTTAAGTTTGTACAGTATCATAATTCTCTTGTTTCATTTCATTATAATTTTTTTTATTATTGTAGTGCATGTTTGAAATAAATCAAATCAAATGTGTCGTTGAAGAGGTGATTGATTACTCAAAAACTAAAATAACTGTTAGTGTGTTTATGCACCTGGCTGCCAAAGATAAACATGCAGTTTTGCTGAGGGCTTATTTCCTTAGTGAGCAGAGAAGGAGAAAGACCTGGAGCAAAGAGAAGGAACAAAAATGAAGACGCATTTCAGTGCATAATCAATCTTTATTTATTTAGAAGACGGGTTTAGAAATGGTCAGGCAGCCTTT